TCCTCCAAAAGGTAGGATCTTGGGTTGACAATGTGAGGTGGCCGCATTAATGTCATTGTGACCACTATATTATGACCTAATATTGATAAACTTGGGATCCCAAAATTTATATATTATTTGGGGGTTTGAAGCAAATGCTTCATTGGTAAGTACATAGGCACGGGCCTGCATACTCTATCATATCTTTATAATAATAATAAATTATTTATGTTCGGTAAAACTCTCGGCGGCCACTAACAATTGAAGGTGTAGTAGTATCCACAAGCTTTCGAAAAAACTCAAACATATCGGAACTTGTTTTATTTAACCAATTACAATTTTGATTAATTCCAAAATTTTGTTTACTTCATTTGTAAATAACTTTTTATTGTATAATAGAAGTTTCGGTTCCCTTTGTTTGCCATTTGTATTGTTTATGACATTTTTATTTATGTTTAGCATTCCAGATTAGAAAGAAAATCTCAAACGAACACATTTTGTTACTCATAATAAAAAAAATATAATCGACAAATCTAATTTAAAGGCAATTATACGGTAATCGAACAATTGTATTGCTTACACAATGTATTGTGAATTAGCATTGGTCAGTTGACATCGATTTGTACCAACTACTTTCTTAGGGACTTCCATTTTCTTAAAAATAGTACGAGAAATTCAAATGTATAAATCAAGCCTGAAATATTATTCATAGGATTTATATCTTGAAATCTACTGACATCAAGGAAAATAGACAAATATTGGATACAAGACAAATAGTTTACTAACCAAACTTAAACATTTGACTGCCAACCAAACTTAAACAATTGCTTGCCACCATTATATGCGTAGTAGATCCCATCATCTCTAGCATTCCAGTAGAATTATTTAGCAATTGTAAATAAAACAGAAGATTTATATGCTGTAAATATTTGACTGTAAATGCCATGCGTTAGATCGCATTGGAAATTTGTTCTGCCCCAAAAATCGTCTCTGAATTCAAATTCGTATACAAAGTTTTTACGCACAAAGTGACGCCCAATATCGTCTTTCTCAGATCTACAATGAACTTCGAAAACATCATCATTCCGACTAAAAAAGTTCCTAAAAACCAACAGGTTTTTTGGTATCAACGTGACAGCATTGTTTGATCCGACATACAAGACAGTAACAATGAAGAAAGCAAAAAAAATGATTCATATCTGTGACTTTTGTCTTTCTAGATTTTTTTTAATATAGAAATTCACGACCTATGAAGCTTATATAGTTTTTTTCTAATTAATGTACATTATATGTT